AATAACATTTAATCTGCTCCATGTATTTACTGCTGAGGACATCGACCTGGACAGATTGTTGTGCATAGATTTAGTTTATTATAGTTTTTAAAACATTTTTATTATTTTGTTTTAAATAAAGTGTATGTTGGAAAAAAAGTGTGTGGATGCAAGTAAAGCTTGCTTGTTTTTACACAATATTTAAAATATTTTGCTCAGAAATATCTAAATATATATTTTTTAGTTTTATTATTCATTTATTATTTTATTATTAAATGTAATAAATTATATTATTTGTTGATAGGGCAAACAAAAATCTTTTCCATCTGGGCCATTTGAAAAATACCTTAGCCTTATGAGTCTAAAATTTCATTTATAATGGTCTTAAAAAGTCTTACATTTAACTTGGTAAAACCTGCAGAAACCTTTGTTTAAAATGTCAGAAAACATGGATGCCCCCAATTTTAAATATGCTGAATGAAATGAACACTTAAATAATTATTTATTTTAAAACATTGTACAGTATTCTAAACTTTATGATGTTGTTGTGGGACGACATGAGGCAAAACGAACAAATTATAGAGGAACTATAACGTTTAGCATTGCACTGACTACAGCTGGCCAACAAACTAGTCTAAAAATGACTTTTGCTGCTTAAGAAATGGATTACAGCATGCTGATGTTATGCTAAAATTGGTTAACCCTGGGTCATTCCAACTCTGGATAAACAGAATCCTGTGTTATCTGTAATCACCTTCCACACTGCTCATGCTATACCTGGGGTTTAAAAATAATCCTGGGTGTTCATTAACAGACGGTTCACATTCCCAAACCACGGGTTAATATTATTATTTCTATATTTACATTGTCACTGTCCCTAAATTGGACAAACAGCAGGAAACCCTTTTTAGATGGCATTTCTGCATCTTGTCGGGTATATACAATGTCATCATGTAGGTCTTCAGCTATATCTCAGGACATGCACAAAGGCAAGAAAACAAAGACAAAAATACAAATGAAGGAAAACAAGTAGCAAAGTATGTCATCTCGCCATCTCCTCATCACTCCAGTTTACACCAAACGTGGCATTAAGCATTTGCATGAGTTTTATACAATAATGCAAACTCCCAAACATAAGTGTGAATCATGCGCACTTGCTACGAACATGCAGGATTTGTCTCAAATGGGTCTTCCAAGCAGGTTAAAAATGTTAAAATCGAGTGGTGGATACACATGAGGGAACATATCACGAGTAATCTAGAGCGAGTACATTTGATCGCTTGCTTTTAAAGCAGGGAGCAGGGAGGGATGCATTGGAGAAGGGTGCGCAACATATTTGAGGACAGGGGGGAGACACACAATTTACTGGAGATTATCATTCGATCATTTGTTTGCGGGCACTCCGGAGTCCCTATGCATATGCGGGAGACTCCTGGAACTTCCTGGAGACTTGGGATGTCTAAAATAGTCTGTAGTAGTCTGACCTTGATCAGTTGGATCAGCTGTATTTGATTGGGTTTGTAGCAAAACTGTGCAGAGCACTCAAGGAATCAAGTTTGAGACCCATGCTTTAAAGTGATAGTTCACCAAGAAATGAAAATTGCCTCACCATTTATTCATTCTTCTCAGGATCATTACAGGACATCATTTCATTTACACACAGTCTAATAACCATCAGTGATTCTACCATTCTCAACCCTTGGGTGCACACAAAGGTTGGGATAATATTACCTTGGCATATAAAACACACACACATTCATTCACTCGTCACTACATCTGTTGATGTTCCCAATATACACACACAGACACCAAATAGGTTACACATCCATATTTATTGAACTATTGCAAGCTTCAGGTCTCATCTTTCGTTGTTGTTTTGTGTTGCAGTCCAGGTTACCGGAAGCAACTGGCAAACTCCGGTAGCTGCCTAGAAAGCTTGATAACGCTAAACTTCCACACCGCGCATGCGGGATCACTCAGATAACTGGATTTCCTTAATGTTGCCTGTTTTTGGGGAGAGCTTGGAATACAAAACCAGCGAAAGAAGACAATACATAATAATAATATTGTTAAATACACCTGGTATGATACTGGAGATGATCTGAATGTGATGTATTGGATCATCTATAAAGGTGCAATATTTTATCTAGTATAAAAGCCAGTAATAGAGGGCATTTAGTCTAAAAGCCAAACCAGTTGGTTGTTAAGGAGGTCTTTTGCAGTAGGAGGCAAATAGTGCTAGTGTACCGGACCTTTTTGTGGAAGGTTGAACAGCAAAGAGCGGTCATTTCTACATGTAAATATTTATATTCTAGTTTGTTTGTTTTGATTTTTGTTTCTTTATTTTTGCTATCTTTTTTACGGATATAATTTGTACATATTTATGAGCAGTTTTGAATGGACTGTAATAAGGAACGGACACTGTCAATAAATTACATTTTGCATATAAGTGCTCTGCCATATTCTTTGTGACCTGTATTCTATCATGCCTCATCACACTCTCCCTTGTGTGGTTTTAAACCTTTATTAGTTTTTTTTAATCTTGTTGAGTACAAAAGAAGATATTTAAAATAAAATTAAAACTGCTGGCTTTCTTTACGTTCCAGAAGAAAGGAAATGTTTAAAACCACATGACGGAGAGTAAATGGTAAGGTCATTGTCATTTTTGGGTTAAACAACCAGTTAATGCTTGTTGCTTTGTGCCTTCATACTAAAGTTCACTTTTTTTTAAGATCTGATGGTGCTGAAAGAAGAGACTCATCAATGGAATGAAAGGGAAGAGAAACAGTTTAAGAAACACCAAGAAACAACAACTGATGAAAAACCCACACTGACTGAAAAGACTTCATCATGCGGAGGACCTCGGAAATCCAAATCTGCGTGTAATTTTACTTGTCTTCAGTGTGGAAACTGTTTCACTCGGAAACACAACCTTCAAGTCCACATGAGAGTTCACACTGGGGAGAAGCCTTACTCTTGCCCTCAGTGTGGAAAGAGTTTTAAGCAAAATGGCTACCTTAAAGTCCACATGAGAACTCACACTGGAGAGAGGTGCTACACATGCCAACAGTGTGGACAACGCTTCTATACTACAGGAAACTTTGCACAGCACATGAGAATTCACACTGGAGCGAGACTGTACACATGCCTACAGTGTGGAAAAAGCCTCTATCAATCAGCAAACTTGGCAGCGCACATGAGAATTCACACTGTGGAAAAGCCTTACTCTGGCATTCAGTGTGGAAAGAGTTTTAAGCAAAATAGTACCCTTGAAGCCCACATTAGAGCTCACAATGATGGCAGAATTTTTTCTTGCCCACAGTGTGGGAAAAGTTTTGCTCAAAAGCAAGACATTGAGATCCACATGAGGATTCACACTGGAGAGAAACCTTACACATGCACAGAGTGTGGTAAAAGTTTCAGATTTAAAAGCACACTCAAACAACACATGATAAGTCACACCAGAGAGAAGCCGTTTACATGTGCTCAGTGTGGAAGGAGCTTCACAACCAAATCTAGCCTCATGAACCACATGAATGTTCACACTGGAACCATAGTGTTCACATGTGATCAGTGTGGAAAGACTCTCACACGCAAAGACTCCATTAAGAACCACATGAAGACTCATTCAGTAGAGCGTTTTAGATGCAGTGAATGTGGAAAAGGCTTTAAATCTAAAAGAAGCCTCAACAGTCACATGAACCTTCACAATGGAGAGCAGAGTTCTCAAAATTGAGGCCTTGTCCACCGGAGCTTGGGGCTCTCTCCTGGTACAGCATGCCAAACAAGTGTGAACTCTTGAATACATATCAAGTTACTGAAAATGAAACCCTTTGAACACCTGAAGATTTAAACTCAATAACTGAAGACGGGGTGAAGATTTTTTTTTTTTGTAGTGTAGATCATGGGTCACAGCGCAGTACCAGGTTGTAAGAGTTTCAACTTTATGATGAACCAATAACCATATTTATGCACATTGCACACTTCAAATGGTTGGCACTGAGAAGAAAAATAGAAAGATTAGGGATGAGAAACTGTCCTACACCCTTAAATTGTGTTTTTAATCATTCATATTATTTGATTGTCACTCGTGTGAACAAACACCGATTTGCCTCCAAGTTTTGGGCTTTTGTCTGCACTTTATAAAACCTGTTGGCGAATGAAAGTCCGGCTAAACTTGTGCGGTGTGAACTCGCCATAAGGTATTGACAGTGACTGACTGATGCAGACTCCCTAAACCCTGTTCAGACTACACAATGACATTTCCCAGTTGCAACAGATCAGATTTGTGTCAGATTATTATGTGGTTTTGGGTAACAAATTAAGACTTTGGTTTAAGAACACTGCACATTTATTTTGATGGACTGATTTAAGAAAGGAACAAGTTTTTTTATGAAGACCATTTAATTTCTGTATGCAACTGGTTACCTTTAAAGATATGTTCATGTGAGAACTCCCACATTACTACAGATAAATCGGTGTATGGGAAACCCAGTGTGCTATTGTGAATAAGAACATGAGTGATTTGTTAGCTTAAATGCTAATTCCAGAACTCAACAGACCACTAAAGCACTTCAGCTTTTTGTTCATTTAAATTATTATTTATATGCAATACATATTGCACTGCTCATGTGCGCTGATTATATTGTGTACTGTCTGTAAGTGGTGTGTGTGTTAGGTGTATGTAGACAGCCTAATATGAGTCTATTAATCTCGAAGTCACACTTTAAAAGAAACTGTATACCACCAACGTTTTCATAATTTTGAAAATCCAAAAAAAAAAAAAAAAAAAGATTTGGGATTATATACTAGATCTCATTTTTATGTTATTATATATTTTTTTATTAAATGTTCAAAATAAATGTACAAACACAGTAGGCCTTACATTTATAAACAAGCATGAACTAATTGAATTACAACAATAGGCAGACACAAACATAGAAAATGTATATATATATATATATATATATATATATATATATATATATATATATATATATATATATATACACACACACACACACACACACACACACACACACACACACACAATATAAAGCTTGAAAGGGTTGTTAAGGGGCTATAGGGTACAGCATTTGCTGACCAAAAATAGTTACTTTAGTGACTTTATTATTTGACAAAGTACTAAAAGATGAAGCCATAATAGCAAGTTCATTATTAATGTGTAAAATAGAGAAGAGGGGGTTCAAAAGCCTACATTTATGAATGAAGAATTTTCCAAAGCATAAACGGTTATTAACCAGGTAATGCTGTGTACAATTTTCTTTAGTTACACCAAATTTAACTTGTTTATACAAAAATGGTTTACATGGATATTGACATGAGACATTCTGTCATGTACATGAGCCCAAAATAACTCTTGAATATATGCAATTGTAGAAAATAAGCTCAGTGATTTCAATATCACTCTCACAACATTGACAAGAGTTGTCTTCAGTATCAAATTTTAATCCCAGGGATTCTTTTGATGAATACACATCAATGATTGTAAACTGAAACTCTTTCATTTTGAGAAAATTAGATAAGAAATGTAAATTGTTCTTATTTTTTCTAATTCCTGCAAATTAAAATCTTTAAAAAAATAAAATGAGGTCTGAGCTGATCAGGATTAACCCTTTGAATAAGAATATTCCTTAAAAACTTATAATTACATTTTGTGTCTCTAAAACAAAAAGTCCTCAAAAACAGAGATGGAAGAGAAAACATTACAGAATAGTGTGAAGGAAAACCTCTGATCAATACTGTGATGTTTTTAGGAAAAGCATTAATAATTGTGTAAAACTCTTTAGTTGACAAACAAAACCATGTTTTAAGCAGAAGTTATTGTAATTAGGAATGTCACCATGGCTATCCATCATATCCAATATAGAAAAAAAATATTATTTTTAACCTAATTTTTCTAAAATAAAAACTTATTTTAATATAAAATAAAATGATTGTTCCATAAACATGCTTTATGAGGACTGGAATTGTGGGAAAGTGCTAGTTTCAGCACAATAGGACCTGCAAACAAAGACAGTTCAAAATCACATCTGATCAAAAAGTCAAAACCACCTATTTTGCAAAATACTGCAGAAGTAACTTTAAGCCATATACTGTTTGTGTTACAAAGAAATGATCTTAGCCACTGCGTTTTTAGAACCCTGTTCATTAATTCCAGGTCAATAACATTTAGGCCCCCTTCTTTATATCTGTGAACCAAGTCATTTTTGTTTTTGTTGTGATACGTACTTTACCAGACAAAATTACAAATGACACTCCTCTGTATTATTTTATTAAATGTGGGGATAGCTAATGACGAGGCTGGGTAAACAAATCTAAATACCAATTCCATTTTGGTTAATATAATACATTCAAATATTGAGACATCCCTTTCCAACCAACCTTTAAGAATGGTTTTGCTTTTAGAAATTGATTTATAATATTATTCTGAATATTAAGATTACTGTCTTTAGTAACAGTAATTCCTAAGTATAGACTTTCCTCAGTAAAGATTCTAAATCACTGCCATGAATTGCAATTAATTCACATTTTATTTATATTTAGATGTAGTCCAGATGCATAGGAGAAGAGATTAACTAGCAGAATGGCTTTGTCAATTCAAATTTTGTTCTTTGAAGAGCCCCTATTATGCATTAAAAAATATAATATTTTGGTTTTGGGGGTCTCCAACAACAGTCTGAAATGCATGTAAGGTCAAATAAAACTTTCAGTGTTTTATAATATGCATATATTTTTACCTAATTATCCCAATGACTCACATATGAATCATTCAGCGAAAATTAAATAAATAAAAAAAGTCAAACTGAGACAAAAAATGACTCATGATGGGAATGGGTCAGAACCCTTCAATTCTGGTGGATCAAGCAAGTCATCTAACAATAAAAAAAGAAAGTACTTGAAAGATCGCATTCACTCCGGTAAAATTCTAAATATGTGCATTAAAAGTTGCATAAACTGCTTTGAAACTTGCAATGTTTGTAAGGAAACTGTATCTTTTCATACTTACTCAAGGTTCTGCCTTGGCTACGTTCCGATTGGGACAGATTATCCCTAACTTGTGTGTTAAAAGTGTCACGTGGGACGCCCCCGTCCAGGTTCAGCCTTGGTTGATAGCTCATAGGGGGAATTAATCCCTTTTGCAGCACAAGGAGGTGCTGGGCTGGACAAATCTGTCCAGGTCAGCAAATGCTTTGAACGCCCAGAAGGCCTTGAGTCCAATTCTGTATATTAGCAAGCTTCTCCCGGGACAGCTCGGTCCTTTGAGATGCATGAATAGGTCAGGACAGGGCAGCTGTGGAGTGGAGGTTAACTTTATGGAGGTAAGTCTTATTAGTAAAACTATTAGTAAGTTTATAGTATGTATTTATTTTCTTTAGTGAGTGATCTTTCACAGCCTCCACAAGATTTTAATGGAGAGGTGGATTTAGATATGTTTTGAAAGGCACTGACAGAAGAACGAATTGCTCGAGAATTTTTTTCAAGTAAGGAAATTTATTATATCAGGAATGGCATGTCATCATTATTTAATTTCATAAGTGTTTTCAGGAGTACAATCTAAATTCACTGATGTACTAACATTTTTGTTTGTCCTAAAGGTCAAAAAAACAATCCATTTTGTGTTACACCTAGTTACAACTTTTGGGCACCCTGGATCGGGAGTAAGACTCGCATAGCGAATGTTGTTCTCAACACTGAATTTGAGAAAGTGCCCAAAGCAAAAACTGCAGAACGAACAGAAATAACTGTCTCTGAAGATCGCTTAAAGGACGAACTTTCAAAACAGAAAGTAAAATATTTAATGCTAATTATATGTATTATTTGTCAGTGTTGGCATTTCATTTAACATGTGTGTTTTATGTGATAGGTGGGAGTGATAAGAAGACTGTGTCAAGAGTGTGGTTTAGATGCCAAAGGCTCTCGCACAGATCTACTCCTGCGACTTTCGGAGGAGATGAGGTCAAGGGAGGCCTATGACAAGGTTTTTGAAAAGATTTGGGCTGCTTCAGGTAAACCTCAATGTTGCACATTAAAATATTACAAATAAATCAGAAATGTACAAAGTCACATAGACATAATGGGTCCTGTTTTCTGCTTGGCACTGATTGGGGAGTGACTGGTGGTGTACAGCTCTGGGGGGTGTTGGAGGTGGCCTTGTCTGACACCAGGGTGTATTGTTGCTTTCCGTGTAGGGGAGTGTATTTACATCTCTGAGGCACTGCATCTTTAAATTTTTTAAAAGTATACTTTGTTAAGGTTAATGCCACTGCCCTCCATCATAACCTATGGTCATTTAAGTCCCAATGTCATTAATGGGATTTGATTATGTTTTCTTAACTATTTGCTTATCTTTTTTGTCTGTTCCAGGAGGTTGGGCTGTCATCATGTGTCCTTGTGGCATAGTTTACAGTATAAAATGTAATCTGCGAGCAGAAAGTCCACGGGATTTTGCAGATATGCTTCTGTCTTGGAAGCATCTGCCTAATGTTGTTATTTATGACTTTGCCCGTGGACTGTCCGCCCACACAAATTTGAGGCAACCCATAACTTTCACACCTTTCAAGGGAAGGTTACTCGAACCAACCACTGAAAATATTGCAAAAGCAAAATCAGGAAAATTACAGGTAACTCTGCCATGGCTCACTGCAAAAAAGCAAAGTCCAGATCCGGATGGTCATCCAATAACTGGTCCTGCAGAACACTATGTTCTGTATGACCGCTTTCACGAAGACAACACAAAAGATCCTCGTGATTCACTGAGGAAGCTTCGTCTTGTGCCTCAACTAGCTGGCAAAGTTAACAATCAGGCTGCAGAACAGCTTTTTTCAAAGCTAAAGAAAAATAACTACTTTATGAACATGGCATTGCCATCCACACATGTTTTCCTCATGCGAAACATCATCCACCATTACAACGTCAGAAAAAACGAGAAACGTCTTCATGACATAAAAAAGGAATTCAACACAAACATTCACATGAATGACCACAGCCAGGTTGTGTTAGGTAATGTTTCCCTTACTTTGTAACAAATACATCACTATATCCATAACTGTACTTATGTGTATATTTGCATTTATAGAAAATCCATCCTCCACAGAGAAATGCATGGACATGTCACTTGGTAATTTGACTGTTCTTTCCAGTTGATCAGTGTCAAGTTTCTGTTCTCTAATTATTATGTGTTATTTTCTAATTTTGATGCTTTAATGTACTCTAAGGACCACTGACAGCACTGCCAGAAAATATTGTGACTTTACAAACGACCGCTGCATCACCAGGCATAACATCAGTCCCATCTCCTCTGTCATCAGTACCAATTACAGAAAAAAACAGCTTGTGAACCTACCACTCTTCTGAATTTTTTGGAACCTACTAAGCCTTGGGAGAGGGACTGGCATCCATTACAAGAGAAACTGGTGAACAATTACAATTACATACAAACGCACACACACACACACATATTTATTGTTATTATTATTACAGCTTGATTATGTGCTGGACCGAAATCGCCCTGGCAGTGAAATAATTTTGAAGGAGGGGCAAGTGTGCCTTATTCGAGAAGAATTTTGGAGCCTTGGATTGTTGAGGGACATGGACTCGCATGTAAGCAGTCTGTTTTTTATTATAACTTTTTTTTTATTAAAAACATTGACTTATCAAAGTATTTATTGCAGATTGGAAACGCCTGCATAAAGCTTATTTGTGAAATGGCTCGACAAATTGTATGTACTATAAAACATAATATTTATATAGATTGTTTTAACTTGATCCAAATTTAAAAAAAAAAAAAACAATTTCTAAACTGTGTGAAAATGTTCATGTCATTGTCAACAGTTTCTTTTTATTCATGTAGGGCAAGGACATATACATTGAGGACTTTTATGTTGTCCCTGTGTGGAAAGAAACTCCTAACAACATTGTTACTGGATTACCGGTGCGTGTATGTACTGTATTTACTGTGTGAGAAGTACAAACTAAATTAAACAACATAACTGTCCTGATCAATTCTAGGAAGATGCAGACTTGAAAGACCTGTTAGCCTTTCCAGCATGGACAAATGCCAATGGACCAGACCACTTTGTTGTCTGTGTAAGAAAATATTGAAATGTCTAGTGCATACATTAATTGATATTGCAATGTGTGTGTTTCTAAAATAAAACACTGAAAAATCTTGGAAGAAGCAATAATGTTGAAATGAAATATTTTTACACCTTTAACATTGTAGATAATGATGCCGCTTCGAAGAGAGATGGTGTTTTTAGACTCTCTGTACGCAGAGCATGAATCAGGATTTGGAGATGAGGAATACAGGGCAATTTTTAGGTCTATCAATAAACTAAGACGTTTCAGCCTTTATGTGATATATGGCTACGTTCCTATAGCCATTTCTATTTATTTCCTAACCGTGTATTATAGTTCTGTCACTTTTGGCTACGTTCCTATAGCCGTTTCTTGAACTTCTGGCTATGTTCATCTAGCCTTTTTTATGCATGGTGTTCTAGAGTTGAGGTGAGCTGTAATTGTTAGTATTACGACTATGTTTTGTTTACAGGAAAATTGCTTACCAAGTGGATCATGGGACATGGTCTGAAAAGACTGGATATGATTTTCCAGTGAGGAATCAACTTAAAAAAATATATATATTATTTGGCTTTTACAACAATTAAATTTTTTGTACATTATTCTAAAATAAAATTGATTTGCTTTGCCTATTTTAGGCTTTGCCACGTCAGACAAGAGGGAATGATTGCGGTGTTTTTGTACTCATGGTAAGATATAAATTTCACTATATATTGACTATACTATACTATAAATTGATTTAAAGATTTTGTAAACATTGTAAATGACTGTGGCTTCTCTCTTTTCAGTACACCCTCTCAATGGTGTGTGGCATTGGGTTTCAATTCCAGGAGGTATTATTTTATTATTTATGTAACTTTATTTTGTTGGTGCTTTTTTAATCATAGCTAAAATGTAACTATTTTAGTGTATATTATCTTGCTTTCTTCTAAGCAACATATCTTTTAAAAAAAGGGGCATGGTTATTGCAAGCACACCCAACATCATGTATTAACAAAAACATGTTGGTTAACTGTCAGACTAAACGGTCTTTCTTTCAGATGGATATACCTATCATCCGTCAGTGGTGGTGCCTTCTACTCATGGAACAATTTCAAACTGATGGGTATGTCAGTATTTATTTATTTTTCTTGTAAATCTGTAAAATTAAAAATTTATATTGTGTCAATACAACAACTTGTAACATGAATAACAAAACATACTTAAAATCTCTCTTACCGGTGACCAGTATATCATCGACTCGGTCCCAGTAACTCCCCTCGCTGGCCAGCAGAGGCCACCATCTCCGGACTTTTAGCATTACATCATCCATCTACACTGATTGCGCATACACCTGATTGGAATCTGGCTAATGACCCACGTACCTCTTATAAGCCGCACTCAAACACTCGTTCAAGGCGAAGTCTTGTTTAGCCCCGGCCAGCATTTCTGAGCATTATTTCCAGCCTGATCTCCTGTGCACGACTCCAGCCTGTCTCTTACTTTGCTTCGCCTTCTGCCTGCCCACGACCCACGCTTGTTATACGGACTCTGACTCTCTCTCTGCCTGCCCACGAACCACGCCTGTTATACGGACTCTGATCCTTGCTGCCTGCCCTTGACCCAAGCCTGCATAACGGATCCTGGTTCTCGCTCACTCCCTTCCACTCATGCCTGGTAACTCACTCTGTGTCTGTTCATCATCAGTCTTGATACCCATACTACTACTGTGGATGTGTGTGTGCACTCCGGTGCATATTGTGTGTTTGAGTGAAGTTGTGATTAATAAATACTGCATAATGGATCCCTCTGTGTCAGTCTCCTCGTTACACAGTAATTATGGATTTTGTCTTGTCTTGTTATTAAAAGCTATGGGCACAGATTTGCTTTCTGGACTGAGGAGGCAAGAAGTGTCTTGGATGGAAAGATTCTGCTCCTTTTTAGGGTGAAAAGAAAAACCACATCCAATCTTCCGGCACATGTCCAAGCAGTTCAAGATCGGGAAAGGAATGACAAAAGATTAGTGGACTTGATTATCACATCAAAATCAGCAAAGCAGCATTTGGTGGTATAGATGGTTCCACTTTAAATTACTCCTCTAGACTCTGAGTATGGTTGACTTAAATATAGTCAAGTGACAATTTAACTATTATTTGCCAAATATAATTAATTACTTGTGCATTTACATATGAAATATAATTTCCTTCTATGGCCCAAAGGATATACTCGATGGGAAAAGGTGAAATTGGTTTCCACTAAAACCCCGTTCTCAAGTGCCTGTCTACATTGAGAATGAGCAGTCCCAGTCAATCATTTGTGACTACATCAGAGGAATTCTTAATAAAACCAAAACACAGCTGACCTTCAATGATGAGGTGGAGTTCATTTGTGGATGTCTCCTCCCAGAGGTAATCACAAAACATGTATGTACATGAGCATGCTTATGTTCTGCAGTGTGTGTTTTATTTTATTAATTGGTTTATCTGTATGTTTGTACAGGCCATAACTCATGGCATTTCCGAGTTACAAGGCTTGTCTTGGCAGGAGGCTGAAGATGTCTTCCTCCAGGGCCCCATTTATCACGCAAGGTATGTTTACATTTTTTTTTGGTACAAAAGCTGTTAAGTTTTTATGTTAAACACAATTTCTGACAACAGCATTTATTTTTTTTTAGTGAAGTTGAGGAATTTAACAGAAGAATTGCTTGAGAAATGAAAAATCTCCCCAACAAAAATGTAAAGCATTTTATTTTATTTTATATGTAATAAATACATTATTAATCCAAGTATTGTTTTTCACAATTTTTCTCTGCATTTTTTACAGCTCGATGACTTGTAGGACCTCATAAAAATTTATAAAAAAATAAAGTTTGGTGTGAGAAAATTACTCCGAGTACTATCATTTATTCTGTGAATAATAAGATAATGTTCATTCCCTCAACTCAATACTAAAGAGTTTGATAAATCCTTAATGATTTAAAAACAAAAAACAACAACAAAAACAATAAATGACTGAAAATATTTAGGTAACTGAACAATATCTATTTACAAATACAGTTAATTAAAATACAACAGACTTAATGCATTAAATCATAATCTAGTATGTTTAATATTTTATATAATAATGTATTCAATCATAGTGCAATATTTTATAGTAGAAAAATAGTGTAATTTACAATTTATAAATCAATGAATTCAGGTTAGGCAATTTTTCCAACAGCAGGTGGCACTGTCTGAGAAAACGATAGGTCTGGAAGTGCTGGTCTGAGCGAGCAGGTCTGAGCATGCGGTTGGGTCTCGGGGCCTGCAGCTTCATAATGTTGCCACAGAGACTTAGGGAATGGTCACCTACAGTGGTAGAAACGCGGAACTTTGTCTAGACACTGTTAACAGTGATACCTTCCCTACCCATGACAATGTTCTGCTAAATCCTGATTTCATCTTGTAACGCTGGACAGAATGTGGCCCAGGATCTTTGTACAGTGCACGTGTTAGCAGTAGCAAGGCAGCAAAATGATTGATCCATCCCTGGGTGGGCTTGAACCACCAACCTTTCAGTTAACAGCCGAACGCGCTAACCGATTGTGCCACAGAGACTTATTGAAAAGTCACCTACAGTGGTAGAAACGTGGAACTTTGTCTCAAATGGTCTGCTATATGAACCCTAATGTAAGTTTGCTGAGAGAGAGAGAGAGAGAAAAGTAACAGAAACGCCCAACGTGGGGCCCGAACCCACGACCCTGAGATTAAGAGTCTCATGCTCTACCGACTGAGCTAGCCGGGCTGATGAGAAGCTCTTTTAGGAACCAGAAACCGTTTACAGTAAAACCTTCCTACCCGTGAAAATCTTCTGCTAAATCCTGATTTCATCTTGTAACGCAGAGACAGAATGTGGCCCAGGATCTATGTCCAGTGCACGTGTTAGCAGTTGCAAGGCAGCAAAATGCCTAATTCGTCCCTGGGTGGGCTTCAACCACCAACCTTTCAGTTAACAGCCGAACGCGCTAACCGATTGCGCCACAGAGACTTAGTGAAAGGTCACCTACAGTGGTAGAAACGCGGAACTTTGTCTCAAAGTCTGCTACATAAAACCTAATGTAAGTTTGCCGGGAGAGAGAGAGAAAAGTAACAGGAACGCCCAACGTGGGGCTCGAACCCACCACCCTGACATTAAGAGTCTCATGCTCTACCGACTGAGCTAGGCAGGCGAATGAGGAGTCACCACTAGAACTAGACACTGTTAACAGTAATACCTTCCCTACCCGTGAAAATCTTCTGCTAAATCCTGATTTCATCTTGTAACGCTGCACAGAATGTGGCCCAGGATCTATGTCCAGTGCACATGTTAGCAGTTACAAGGCAGCAAAATGCTTGATCCGTCCCTGGGTGGGCTTGAACCACCAACCTTTCAATTAACAGCCTAACGCGCTAACCGATTGCGGCACAGAGACTTAGTGAAAGGTCACCTACAGTGGTAGAAAC